AATAAGCCACGACTCATTCTCCCCAAAAAATGTCCACGCGTCACTAGGGTGTTTGGGGTTTGCTTGAAGAAAAGGTGGCAACCCTAACATAGGTCAACTGGGAAGTGAGCTGAATTGGAGAATTTCTCCAAATCAGCTATGTTGTCCTAGATTGTTCACTTCTCCTTCCTTCTCCAAACGCTTCACCCTTTTGTGGATAACCCTGTATATGTTGGCTTATGTAAACAGTTGTGATATAAAAAAAACAAAAACAAAATACTGTTATGTCGCTTTTCATACTTGGTTGATCTAATGCCGGCTCTCATCATTCTTGTACAGCACATGCCTTCAGTAAGAGTCTGGAAGCATGCCGATAAGAAAAAAGGAGCTGAGGATAGGAGAGGAGAGACAGGAAATGTATGAAAGAACACATTCCTTTAGATGTTCATGGTTAAACATGCAAGCCAATCCTTATACATTAAAAAGGGATATGTTTGATATAATTCTATGTGGAGAGAGAACTTTACCTGCAAATGACTTAATCACGCAACAGAAGTAAGATTGTCCAAATATCACCTGTGTTGAGCCCAGTATTGGTTTTTGAAGTACAGCGAGAGTAAAAAAAAAAAAAGGGAAGGATAATCTTGCTTTATTTGTCTGGATACAATTGAGCCCAGTTGAAGACTATGTATTTTTTACAGCGATGCAGTCAGGCTGCATATACAGTAATAAAAAGCTATACTGTTTTTCTAAGCACTTCAGTCCCCGGGCCTCTTTCTCCCTAAATCCCAGAGTGTTTTTTTAAATTATTTATTTTTGTTTAAAATAAATTAAAATATCACATTAGTGCTAACGTTACGTAACGTAGCAGACTGGAGCACTGAGTAGCAGGATCGGAAAGCCCAGAAGCCCTGGCTACCACTGACCGCTCACAATGTCAGTTCCGGATCGGGCACCACTGCAACTGCTGAGTCCGGTTGCCATTTTAAAATGCCTCTGGGATAAACAGGTATTGTTCCTGCACCACTGAAACACAGCACCTGGGACTCAGGTGGTTAATTACGAAGGGCTGCAGCAAGGGTTAAAAGACCCTTTGATAGCAGCGCGATGGAGAGTCGGACTGCTACTCTCACAAATCCAACACAGCAGCCCAACACGCCCCCTGCGCATTGCTCCAATCAGCAGCGCAACTCAGGAAGTGCGACACCTGTTGTCTGGAGCATGGTTCATGGGGTGTGTCAGGGTGCTGGAGACCTAAGCTGCTAAAAGTTTTTTTCTCAAACATATCCCTTCTTCATCTGTGGGATTTTTTCTGCGGTACGCGGTCTGCAGAGCATGCCCAGTGCAGTGTACACTCTCACAGGTTCCGAGAATGGACCTGGATGACGTGCATGTGCAGGAGTTATATCATAAGTGGTTGCCCAATGGCTGAAAAAAGACAACAAACCCGGGAAAAAAACAATAGAAGTGGCAGCGGATGGAGTGAAAAGGGGAAGTGTGGACCTTTCACCACTGGTGGGGGGCAAACTAAAAGGTCAATCTGTCATTATGTGCAAATGCATACTTTTACATTATTATTATTATACAGGATTTATATAGTGCCAACAGTTTGCGCAGCGCTTTACAATATAAGGAAGACATTACAATCACAATACAATTCAAGACAAGATGGTAAGGGAACATAGTCTGGGGCAAGCTGCGGACACCACATCGTCCAACACTGCCGACTCTTCCAGGACATTAGAAGAAGCAGGAGCATTGTGGAACCAATAAATCAGAAGTTCAATATATGCTCTACTCACTAATAGATTGTACATGTGACTGGCAAACACATACAAGCTACAAGTACCATGTTACCTGGAAGAAGCACATTTGTATGCAAGAAACAATCGCTGGCATTGGGAATCTTGTCTCCATCTTCTCTATCAAGTCTATAAAATGTCTGTGATAGGTAATAGGTATTCTATATACTGGGGAGCATTTTCAAAAGCACATAGGGGGATTTCAGCATCGATAAGCGCTCCCTAAGGCCCCCTTCACACCATCGTGTTCCGTGAACACACGCTAAACGCATCAAAAATGCCAAACGCACGTGCGGTGCCACTAATAGTTAATGGCACCTCAAACGGGGCCAGGCAAACGCGCTAGAAAAAAAATGCGGAATGTCTATCACCAATTTTGCTACATGCACTACCTCCCTGCGTTTGACGCGTGTTCAGGAGGCCATTAAAATTAAATGGCACGTGCCAAATGCGGGAAACAAGCGTCCGCGTTTGTGCAATGCCATGGTGTGACTGGTGACATATGTATATGTATGTAGTGGTTTGCCTGTGCTTCAACTTTAACCACAGTCATAACTGCTAAATTTGCAAGCACAAACAAAATTGTGGAGAGAATACAATAAAATATGCATTTCTAGGACATATACAGGATACTCTGTTGCGATGTTTGAAACATTTGTGTGTCTGTTGTAATCATTTTGCAGAACAATGTCTGTAGAATCCTGCAGGGTGAAGAAACTCAAGGAAAGGACAAAAACTTACAAATGAAGGTCACAAATTTCTCTTAATGAATGCAAAGTGAGCTTTGTATTCATTAAGATTCATGAAACATATATTCTGGTATCCCGCACTAGCGCAGAGCCAAACTGGCATCTCCAGACCACATCTCTGTGAGCGGAACTCGTACATTTGCTAGAGTAAGTATAAAAAACCCCCTCATATTCATGCTTACCTTTCTATTAAAACTGCAATTGCAGGCAGTCCTCGAGTTACAAACATCAGACTTGCATACGACTCCTACTTACAAACAGAAGCTATTACTGTACAGCGGGGGTAGTTGTAATGCTAACTCGCTCACGCTGAGGAGTGCCCACCTTTTTGGGTCTGGTTCGTAGTGCTGTACATACATTACAGAAAGTTAGACGTGCAGACGAGGGGTGCACACCTCTTTTTCCGGGTCACTGTGAGGTTTTTACTGCTGTCTTTATCCTCATTAGAAAGATTTAATCTCGCTTCCTGTCCTTGAGACAACAGGAAGGGAGAGGAAATCTACACCTAGGAAGGGAAATTCCCTCCTGTAACAGTAAACCACCTATACATGCTTTTGTTTGACCCACCATTGCAAGTACCCTTGCATTTTAATTTTGTGTCTTTAAAATAAAAAATCATCTGCACTAGGGTGGGCGCCCTTCTTTTTCTTTGGTTTCCCAGTTCTACAGTTCCCCTGGCTGAAGTGGGGCAGCACCCCTAGCAATCCTGTACACACACACTACTCAGCATCAGGATCTGTTTACAGCGCTTTGGCTTCAATATATTTGTTCCCTCCTGTAAGAGTGACCATGGGAAAAAGGTGTCTCCACTAAAGCTTCATCACCAATGCTTGTTTCCACGACAACCCAAAATTTTCAAAATCCAATTGTCACACACAGCGAAACAAGCTTTACAGGGGGTTAACCCTTCCCTATGCTATTCAAAACAAAACATTTTGGGCTGGAGTTAGGCTTAAAAAATGTACCTGTTCCAATTTACATACAAATTCAACTTGAGCACAAACCTACAGTCCCTATCTTGTTCGTAACCCGGGAACTGCCTGTATATTATTCTAAGAAAGAGTCATTTTCCCTTCTAGACTACTGTAACAAATTTTTTTTTCTTAACAGACTTGCCAGTCACTAAATTGGGACCACGTCACACCATCATGAACACAGATACAAGACTTGCCTTTCTTGCCACTTGACTTCATCGCAGATGCAGATACCAGACTTACCTACCTTGCCAACTCCTTGTAAATGACTCTAGCAGTTCAGTTTCTATGATTGTATTGAAATTTCCAATGCAGTCGCGGCAGTCATCAATAATGGGACACCTGACTATCTCTTACCAATTGCTGCATTTTATATTTCCAAACAGGTTCTCAGATCAGCAAAAGGTCTGCCCTTGTCATCTGCATTCATCCACTTTTACATCCAATACAGAATTGCTGCAATAAGCCATTTGTGTCTGAATGTAAATATCAGGCTTCAGCTATTGGGTTCCTTATTGAATGGCCTTTTTTTCCCATCAAATTAGCAAATGAAGAGCCTAAAAATGTGGAAAGGAGCCTAACAGTCCCCCTGCTGGCTCAAAAGGGAAATGCAACTCTGTAACATGCAATATCTCATATTTGTAGAGCTAAAGGAGATCTATGAGGTGAGTAATTTACACTCATCCTCATAGTTAGAGCCTACATGTGACAATGAAACGGTCACACGTCGGCTCTATTGATCGCCAAGTGAGTGAACACATACCGTCGCTCGCTCACTTTCAGATCCTGTCCCTGCAGCCGAACCTCTGAGCCGGCTCCCTGCTTCTCTGGTCTCTAAAGCCTGTCTCCTCCTACACTACAGCATTGGAAAGTGCATCAGCTTCTTCACATCTATACGCAGTGTATAGAACATGATGATTTCCAGGACCTTAGACTGCTGCAGCGGATGGGGAGAGAGGCTGGAAGGACCGGGGTCTAAGAGCAAGACGGCTCCGGGGGTTCAGGGGAGTAAAACTTTTTTTTTAGCACCTAGACAAAAATGAGCAATTAACCCTTGCAGTGCGGGTGTAGCCCCTAACCCTTCTTTAAAAAAACATTAACATTTTTTATTTTTAACCCATCTTAATAACTAGACATAAATGCACAAAACCACAACACGTATACATTGAGGGGAATTTATCAAAACTGGAGCAGACAAAATCTGGAGCAGTTGCCCATGGCAACCAATCAGCATCTCTCTTCAGTTTGTTCAGGTAAGATTTGAAAATGAAAGAAAGAAGCTGATTGGCTGCCATGCACAGCTCCTCCAGATTCGGTCTGCTCCAATTTTGATAAATTCCCCCCATGGTATTTTTTTAAATGCAGCTAATGTATGTACGTAAAGTATATTGCTAATTTGTTGGACGTAAATACATATAAATCTGTATTTTAGTGGTTTCTTTAAGCATCTGCACAGGGCTCAGCTTAGAAAAAAAAATAAAAAATTCATCCCTTACCGTCACTCTCCTCCTCCTCTTCTTCTTCTTCAAGCCCTGCCACCTCAGAACTTGTGCTCTCTCTGTACGGAGGGGGCAGCCTCATTGGTGGTGGCGGAGGACCTGCAGGCACAGGAGACACGTTCTGCACAGGGGAAGAAAAGAAAAAATATAGCTTTTTTCAAAATTGGAAAACAGTTTTATGTTTTACATTTCAGATTTTTATATACAGATATGTAAATTCAACTGTTATGCAGTTCAGTCTGTATCCATGCTAAGCAACCACCAAACATTGTTCCGGGATTATGATAATAAAAATACATATGTATTAAAAGATTTAAAAAAAAGAGAGAAAAAATAAATACTTCCCCTTTAAGAAATTGATGGTTTGCTCATCAGAGAGTTAGAGTTCCACGGCAGCGGAAGAGCTGACGATCACCTATATATACTGTATACCGCACAGCGTGCAAAGATGTTGCAATGATAAATGATTTTGAAATTAAAAGCTAAGAGGATTAAAATCCTCCTCAGAGTATCAGATCCTGGTACCTCCTTCCATAGATACTACAAAGCTATGCAAGTCTCACTTCCTCTGCTTCATTGTCGGTATCTAAACAAAACATCGAGCAAGGACAGCCTAGAGCAGGGATAGGCAACTTCAGCACTCCAGGTATGTAGAAACTACAAATGCCATCATGCCTTTGCATCTGGGAGTCATGCCTGTGGCTGCCAAACAATGCAATGCCTCATGGGACTTGCAGTTCGACAACAGCTGAAGTGCCAAGGTCGCCTACCCCTGGCGTAGAGTTACTGCTTATAGAAGCCCCATACAAGTCAAATTCAGTGGTCGAGATGTCACCATTCCAGTCTCAAGGAGATATTATACAAAAAGCAAGATAAGTCGCCTTGAACACAAGCATCAAAAAAAAATAGTAACATTTTCCTTTAATGCCGGTAATGCCCGGCGGCGAGTATAGAACAAATATATGGCGACAGGCAAAAAAGAAAATATTAGCATTTACCTCGCACAGCCGCAAGCATCGAGCGCAGTAAAACCGCCGCGTGTCTGACAGGTTGAACATTGTGTGTTTTATCATCAAGAAGTAGAATGTACACCCGTACGGCCGGGCTCGCATTGCACAAGACATCACTTAGCTATTACTAGTTATATTTGGAATAACAATAATGGATTTGATTCAATTACGGCCCGTTGACTTTCTAACTGCTAATAGCAAAATGCACTTAAGGAAAAAGCACAAATGTTCATACAAAAAGCCATCAAGACATTTGTGTCTGGGTGCAAAATTCTCAGGAACGCGGGAACTGGGACTTGGTGCAGAGATAAAAACGAGACGACTAAAAAAGAAAAAGTGGTAAAATGTCAATTAGAAAAATAAGAGAGACACTCTGTATCAATATTGTTTTAAGGGGCCTCTATGCTTCCCTGTTCTGCTCTGCACTGATACGGGAGTTTATCAAAACATTGAGCAGACAGAATCCGTAGCAGTCGTCCGTAGCAACCAATCAGCTTCTCTCTTCTGTCTGTTCAGTTAAGCTTTGAAAATGAAAGAGAGAAGCTGATTGGATGCCATGGGCAACTGCTCCAGATTCCTTCTGCTTTGGTTTTGCTAAATTCCCCTCGGTGTGTTTTTAATGTACATACGTTTGCAAAATGTAACATTTAGGGATAGAGGAGGGCATAGGCAAGAACAGGCTGCTGCGTACAATAAAACGTAGCACTTGTCCCTCCCGGGAACGGCCCGTAGGCCTCATTTACACGGGGCATACAGTTCTGTGCGGCATACACGCCTGTAAACAGCCAATCCTTGGAGGAACAGGTGATGTATGTGATTGGACGCAGCAGCCTGTTCTTCCCTATGGGAGGATGCAGCTGTACGCAGTCATCCGTGTGGGACTGTGGGTACGGGTGATCGCACTCAGCGGCTCAGGCCCTGGTGCGGCGGCACCGGCCGCAACGGGGCCTGGGCCTACAGGGGGGGCCCAGTATCCATTCAAACACAGCCCCGGGGCAGAGATGGGGGGGCCGTTGGTGTCCGGCCGCCGGTTACCATCGGATCGGTATGCAGCGGGCCCCCCCATCTCTGCG